CGCATGTATGTGTATGAATGCATGGTGTGCATGTACGTGCACATGCATGTATGCATGCATGTGTGGAAATATGTATGCATGAATGCATGTGTGCATGTATGCATGTGTGTGCGTGCATGTGTGTATGCATGCATGCGTGAGTACGCATGCACGTGTGCATGCATGTGTGCATATATGCGCGTACATGTATGTATGTCTGTATGTATGTATGCATGGATGTATGTATGTATGTATGTGTGTATGTATGTATGCAGGCATGCATGCATGTATGTATGTACGCACGTATGCACGCATGCGTGTATGTATGTATGCATGTATGTGTGCATGGATGCGTTTACGCATACATGTATGTATTTAGGTAAGAAAGTCTGTGTATGTATGTAGGGTTGCATGGATGTGTGCAACTATGTATGGATGTATGGATGAATGCATGGATGAATGCATGTATGTATGGATGTGTGTATGTATGTATGTATGTATGTATGTGTGTATGTATGTGTATCTATGTATGTATGGATGCATATACGTATGTGTGTATGATTGTGCGTATGTATGTATATGTGTGCGTATGTTTGTATGTATGTATGTGTGTATGTATGGATGTATGGATATTTGTATGTTTGTTTGTCTGTGTGTATGCATGCATGTATGTGTGCATGTATGTGTGTATGTATGTATGTGTATATATGTATGTGTGTATGCATGTATGTATGTATGTATGTATGTATGCATGTATGTATGTGTGTGTATGTATGTGTGTATGTATGTGTGTATGTATGTGTGTATGTATGTATGTATGTATGTATGTATGTATGTGTATGCATGTATGTCTGTATGTGTGTATGTATGTATGTATGTATGGATGGATGGATGGATGGATTGATGTATGTATGTATGTGTGTATGTATGTATGTATGTATGTACGTACGTACGTACGTACGTATGTATGTATGTATGTATGTATGTACGTATGTGTATGCATGTTTATATGCATGTTTGTATGTATGTATGTATGGATGTATCTGTGTGTATGTATGTATGTATGTATGTATGTATGTATGTATGTATGTATGGCCGACTGTATGTGAATGCATACATAGCTGTATGTGTGTAGGCCCGCGCCTTCTAAGAAGCAACCTCCTTCTAAGAAGCCTTTCCCCCTCCCCCATACCTTCCTCTGCGAGTGGCCGACACGAACCCTCCACCAGCGCATCTTCCGGAGGACAACAGATCGTGGCCTGCGCCGGCCTCCGCTGGCCTGCCGCGGGCCTCGCTCTGTGTCCGCGGGGCCTCGCTCGCCCTCCCGAGCTTCTTCTTGTTGACGGATCGGGCGGGTGGCAACGGGGGGGGCCCGCCCACTAGGGGGGGTGAAGAGAAGGGCCCCAGAGTGCCCCTCGAGGGCCCCTCTCTTCACCCCCCCATGTGGGCCCCCCGCCCATTGCCGCCCGCCCGAGCGGGCCCCGAGGCCCAGGGAGGGCCCCAGGAACCCGAGAGCAGCACGACGGCTCGAGGTCCAGCTTCCCTCGGGGCCCGCCTGCTTGAGGGGCCACGTCAGGGGGCGGCGGGGGAACTGGCCCAGGGGAGGGGCAAACATCGACCTGGAATCGGCGATACAACGCCGACAGATCGACGATACAGTACAGTCAACCCGTATCATAAGGACGCGCGATAAGGATGCAAGGGCCTTGGAGGGCCATGTCGACACTCTGCGAGCGGGGCGCGGCCAGCGAGAGCGGCCAGGGATGGGCCGAAGGGGAAGGATGCAAGGGTACCCTTGGGAAGGTTGCTCATCCTCACTTTGCGGGTTGAACCCCAGGACGTCCCAGGACGTTCATTGTCATGCTCTCCATAGCAAGACCATCAAAACCCAAGAAACCCAGGGCACCCTGAAGGCAAGCAGAGTGTTTCTTGGCATGGGTTTCCTCTGTAGGCCCCCGGTGGCACCCACGGTCCTGGGCAGGGTGGGCTGTTGGGCCCCCTCCGGCGATCAGTGGGCGATTGGGGGTCAATGCGTCCCACCCTGAGCCCCCTTCTCCCCCGGCGTTGCCACCGACGTATCCCTCATGCCCGCTTACTTCACGGCGACTGACGAGGAGCCAGCTGTATGGCTCTGCGCCCCACGCTGTGCAGAGAGCGCCAAGCGCGACTCGCGGCGAGCCGCGGCGAGAGCGCAAACAAACGCTGCAGGCAGCCCAGCGGTCGGCACAGGATGTCCTGTCCGACGGACGTGAAATGTAGCAGCCCCCTCGATGACAGCGGGAGAGGGCCGGGCAACGTCAGGGGGGGGGCGGCTCAGGGGGGGAAGCATCGACCTTGAATCGGCCAAACAACGCCGAAAAATCCGCGATCAAGACAGCGCCGAAAGATCCGCATCCGCGATCCGACTGCAAAACCACAAGCTCCTGGGCGGGGCGGGCTATCGGGCCCCTGTAGGCGATCAATGGGCGATTGGGGGTCGCTGCATCTCAACGTTGCCCCTGAAGCAGCCCCCTCGATCACAAGCACCCTGGCCGGTGACTCGGCCTACTGGGCCAAACTGATCTGCCCTCGAGCGTTATCTCGCACGGTCGTCCTCGTAGGTCGCGCTTGTCTGAGCATGACGGCGAATACCTCCGCAGCCTTGTGTGTCTCGTCAGCGTCGGATGCAGGTCGATGATGATCAGGGGTGTGTCGATGGTAGCTGTCACGGTCCAAAGTGAACAAGTCCCCAGCAGAACAACGCGCGCCACAACCACCACGATGGGGCCGACGACAGCAACGACAACAACGACGACGGAGACGAGACGGGACGGGACGACTCTGAGCAGCGCCCTGGGAGAAGGGAGGGGGAGGGAGGATGAGGAGCAGCAGGACACGACGCTGAGCAGGGGGAGGAGGAAGAAGGGGGAGGGACGAGGAGGACCAAGGCGCGGCAGCAGAAGAAGGGGGCAGCCAGAGGCGAGGGAGACGCGAGCAGAAGGCGGAGCCACAGGAGGGGGAGGAGGAGGAGGAGAAGGAGGAGGAGAAGGAGGAGGAGGAGGAGGAGATGGACGAGGAGACGACGGGCATACTACTGCGAAGCCTCGGAGATACAGCAAAATCATCGATTTAAACCGATTCCAAGCAACCGACGGCGTTCCACCCTGAACGCCCGCGCCATCGCCGCCGCCGCGTCAACGCGGCACGAACCGTGAAAAAAAAGGTCCTGACGTCGGAAGCAGGTCCTGGACTATCGCTGCCTTGCCCCGGGACCGGCTCTTCATCCTCGGTCGCCTCCTGACGGCCCCGGGGTCCGGGAAGGGCCAGGGGTCCAAAAGCAGCGAACAACAGGGGCCCCGCAATCCTTCGGGAACCCCTTGCTGCATGGCGACTGCCGCAAATCGGGAGGCCAAACAGTACCGATGCCGCTGCTCCCCGGACCTCTCCTGGGGCGCGCCCCGACCCGAATCTCGACGGGAGTCCAACCGTGGCGACAAGGACTCTCCAGGACGAGCAGCGGCGCCAGTGCCCTGTCCTATCGGAGCGGGGGAGGGGGAGGGGGAGGAGGGAGGGGGAGGAAGGAGAGGGAGGAGGCAAGGCAAGGCGAGGCAGGCGCTCGGGGGTCAAAGCTCCTCTCAGCCAGATCGCTTGTGAGACCCCTGCGGGAACTTATGGATTGGCCTCCTCACTGTCTGTGAGGCCTGCCACGCGACGGTGAGGCACCAGGGACGAGTTCTTGCCAGCAGGCAACCCCCCACCCCACTCCACTCCCCGCCCTCCACAACTCGTCGGGTGCGTCACCGTGGCGACACGGCGGCGGGGCCAGTGCCCTGCCGTACTATTCGATCAGACTGGGGGCTCTTCCACGGCCCGTTGGCGGTGGGGAACCCTGAGAGCAACATACACCTGGTGGCAAAACCTTTCGGGAGAGACAGAGAGCAAGAGATCGCACCCCAATTCAAGACGCAACGAATATGTCACGAATTTCGGCGCCAGGACAGGGGTGAGATGAGACAGAGAGCAAGAGAGGCAAAAAGAGTGCGGAGCGGCGTGGGTAACCCACTTCCTCTGCATCACATTGAAGATGAAGTCGAAATAACCTATCCTGCTGACCCTCCCACCTTGTTCGCGGGACGGCAGCTGCACGGAAGCGGATGGGCGCTCGCTTGCCAGGCTCCTGTTGCTGGTTGGTGGGACTCCTACCTAGCAATCCAGGGCTGTTGGCAGGCAAGGAAAACATCTCTGGCGCTCACTCTCCTTCACGCGTGCTAGCCGATCCGTCCACTCGCAATTCCTGTGTGAAATTGATCTGGTCAGGGAACGGTGGGATCAAGACTTCATGTTCATATGTCAGCTGCCGTCGGGCGTACTGTAATCCCATCAGAGCTGTGTCGATAATGATGCTTTGAGTTTGCAACTGGCGAATGACTTCCTGGCGCTCAAGCATTTTCTCAAAATCCATTTCGCATGGCATACTTACCCGAGCCAACTGCATATCGATCAAGCCCTTTTGCCTCATCAGCTCATTTATGATGGCACGCAGCGGTGGGATCTGGGTCTGGAATACTCTTATTGTCGATCGCAGACGCTCGCTTCCCATCATAAGGCGGCCCATTGGGCTGGCATAACGTATATCGCAGCGCGCCAAGTACGCAGGTGGGATCTCACTAGAATGCGCGGGCTCCGTCATAGCACAGTAGGAGAGAGGCGAACAAAAGAGAGGGCGACTGAGCCTACAGCTGCGGTCACCTAGTCGTGCCACCATAGTACCACACATGTTGTTAGAATCCGTTGTTTTTGTGTTGGTTTATGCTGGAGTCGGTCGTAGTCGGATGTTGGGCATCATTGTTTGGTTCCCCTGCTTTGTGTGAGGTCTTCGGAGCTTCTATCTGGGCCCCCATGCATCTGTGCTCTCCTACGCTCTCGATATCGCTGGGCCAGTTCGTAGATCTCCCGAAATCTGTCGCTGTTCTCAATATTTGATCTCACGCTGTCGAGTCTCCGAGGGCCCTCACTTATGTCGTCGGCAATCTTTTCAAGGTCGGAGCAAGGGGGCCAGGGAACAGGAGGCAGGCCCGAGGTCCGACTGCGAGAGAGCGTCTCTTCCTCTCTCCCTTCAACACATTCTGCAACAGAAGAGGCAGAAGGAGCGGTACCGAGCCCTACCGTCGTGGTAAGTCGTCGTCTCTTCCTCGACGACGGGGTGCGGCTCGGTGGAGTGGTGCTCACCTGCGCCGCAACGTGCTCTCTACTGACCTCTCCAGCGCTGTCTTGGGGCCAGGGCCCGTCGCCTTCTTGCCGTTGATGGACTGCAAGCCGATCGTGATGGCCGTCTTCAACTTCATCACCTCGTACACCTTCACTGCCTCCATGGCCTGCTCCCCCACCTCGTGATTCGCCGGTTTCGCCTGGAGGCACGGCGTCGGGTTCAGGGCGAAGGAGATCTTCCCCAGGCGGTCGCCTGCATCCAGGCCCTCGCGCTTGTACGTCTCCTGGACCTTGAACGCGAGGATCATCTCCTCCACTAGGATGTTGCCCTTCGTGTGATTGGTGGCCTCCACGAACTCCCTGATGACCTGCTTGCTGGACTTCTCCAGAGCGTTGCCATCGCCACGTGCACGTGCGAAGATCCAAGCCCGTGCTTTTTTCCTGCTGCACGAACCGCTTTTCCATATTCTTTGCCTGCCCCCAGTCCCGCTGCGAATGGCTTGGACGTTGCGGGCGCGAGCCAGAAGTCCCCCGTCTGGTGCATGAGATCTCGTATTTCTTGGCTGTTCTTCAAGACCAGCTTGCGCAACGCCTGGTCCCTCTGGTCGTAATCTTCGTCGAAGAGGTCCCTGCCCGCCCCGCGCGGCGGCTCCCCGCCATCTCCTGCTGCTGTCGGTCGCGCCTTTCTTGCGGGCCCCCCCCGACCCTGCTGCCGGTGCTCCTCCTCGCTCGTTGGCTCCGATCTGCCAGGCCTCGCACGGCGGTGGGAGGATCATCCGATCGTTCGAGTACGCTCTCTGGTCCGACGTGGTGCTCACGTACGCGCAACTGAAAAGAGTGCAAGTCTCGAACCACATGATCACAGATGCTACATGTCAACACCTCTGGTATAATTACTTCATGTGCCCATTTTGAGTAGTCAATGTGGCAAACTCCGCGTCGGTCGCATGCCCGCTGAACGTGGTCTATCGCTGTCTTCCTCTTGTTAAATGCGCTCATGCACCATGGGCACTGGTTTGTAATCACGATCTGGGACAGGAGGGCGCATTCGTTGTGAGCTCCTCGTTCGTGTGCTTTCAGGGCCTGAGGCGTAGCAAAGCATTTCCCACATACCGACTGATTACCTTCCGCGTCTTCGCACACGTAGTCACACCAGAACGGTTTCGAAATGAGCTCCCCCCCCTCCTCCTCGTCCACCTCCTCCTCCTGCCCGTCCCAGACCACCGTCGCATTGTGTAGGATATTTGGGTCGGTGCGTGACCACATTTCCCACTCTTTCGCACCGTGTCGGAGGATATCGAGGTCGGTCTCACGTTCTCTCCACCACTCCCTCATGCCTTCATCCACTGCTGCCAATGCTTCTAGGTATGCTAAGTACTGCTTTGCCATTGGTGTTGATTGCTGCCCCACTCTATCCCCTCTCTCTAGTCGTGGTATTCCCGCTAATCTTTCCATAACTGAGCTGTCAAATATTGCTGCTACCACATTGCTGCGTTCGTGAGGCTGTCGGGCCCACTGTTGGCACCACTTCAGTCGACGCATTCGCAACGCTGTAGCTGTCCGAGGCAGACGCCACTCCCTAAATACTCTGGCTGTGCTGTGGCAACGTGTCTCCCCATCCCCCCTAACCCACGACATTTTACCTCGTGCTAGTGTGCGCAGATACTTGCCTATGAGGGGGTCGAGTGCATCTGTGGCGGCCTGAGGCAAGACGAAGCAATTCAATCCGCTGAGTGCTGCTCCGTACACAAAGGCAATGAACATCATCCGTTTGATGTCGAACGCCGCCTTCGATGACCAGAAGATCCCGCCCTGCCGCCAAGCTAGTCGCACTGCGTCGCAACTTCTGCGGACCTCTCCTCTCATGCCCTGGTCCGAGGGAATGTATGGTCCTAGTACTCTCATCTCACGTAGTGCTGCCCCTGTTAACTCTTTGGCCCTACGTATCCTACGGGCGCGAGCGTAGCTGCCCCGTCCTTTCAGGTCCAGGAGGTGGTTGGTTTTGCCGTTGTTGAGAAACCAGCCTCCTACTTTGATGGTGTCAGTGAGCTTTGTTGTTGCTTCGTTGATCTGTGAGATGATCTCCTGTGGCGTGCTAATGTTTGGGACGATGTGGCTTTTTGTAATGTCGTCCATAAACGTGTTTATAGCCAAGTCGTGACGAGCTCCCGTGATGGGGTGGAAGGTGTCGTGGAGCTTTTGGTTTGGGTCCTCTCTCAGTAGGTCGTTCCACTTTCCCACGTAAATGTTGTAACTGTCGTTGAATTGCCGTGGGCATAGTGTAAATCCCATCTGCGCTCCTGTTGTAGTCGCCATCGTAACTGTACTGTCTGCAGCTTCCATCGCAAGGCTGGTCTCCTCGATCGCACCTACCGCATGTGGTTTATCCCATTCGTCAGCCTGTTTGTACGCTACTGCCTGTAGGAGAGTCTTCTTGGTGCTGGCGAATGCGTTGCTACAGTCGTAGTTAGTGTAAATGCTACTATACCCTAGCTGGCTGGCCTTCCACTTAGTAGTGTCGATAGTAGCTATCGCATTCTCTCGGCATCTAGAGGGAAGGCCTCCTTGTGCCCATGCTTGGTGAACAGTGGGGTTTCCTCGTCTGTGTATTCCTGAGAACCACGACATCCCGATGCTGCAATACGCGTGCATGATACGCTTGCCCTGTATTCCCTCTCGCCCATTATTTTTCTCTGCGTCGAATGCCATCGATCTGTGCCAGTCCAGTGGTGTCGTCATAGCCGTCCTACACTTAATCAGCACATCAGTGAGCCGTCGTTGCACCGTCGGATTGTTGTGCACACTCGGTTTAGCTCTTCCCAGCCCTGCTCTTTCCTCTCTTCCTGTACCGTAGTTGTCGTACAGCGCTTCTGGATCGGCCGTGATACCCTCTCTGACTCCCAGCCCTCCTCCTGTCCACCCCAGCTTTTCCAATAACTTCCTCCCTCGCTGGAATCGGAACGCTGTGGACAGGCGGGCGGTCTCCTCCTCATCATCTCCTGCTGCTTTCGCTGCTTTCTCCTCCCACCTCCTAGTCTGCTCGCTGGGGTCGGACAATTGTGCCGTCGGATCCAACAAGAGAAGAGTCGCTTCCACAGGTAGTCCCCACGCCGGCCATGCTCTCCGTTTTTTTGCCTTCCTGCAATACTTCAACATCGACCTGCGATCTCGCCCTACGCAATCCAACAGGTCGTGGCCACACGGCAATGGCATCCTGTTGGAGTGAAAGTTCTCATGCTCCTCCAGCTGCTCCCCAACGCTCATCCTTACCGCTCCTAGTCCTCCTTCTTCTGGTGGCTTGGCTAGCTCCTCCTCCCACACGGCTTTCGTCCAATGAGTTTTTGGCGTGAAGTAGTACCTTTTGGGGGGTCCTCTGCCGTTGGCCTGGTACTGGATCCTCAGCCTATGCATGTCCGAGAAGTCTCCTCTCTCCGACGCCTCCCATATCTCCTCCACCAGCTTCGCCCTCCTTTCCCTCTCCCTCTCCTCCCTCATCTTCTTCAGGACAGCTGTGATTTCCTTGAGCTCCTCGCATGTCTGGGCGAGTACCTCCTCTGGGATCTCTGGGGCCAGCGTTTCTCTGAGGGTTCTCCTGTCGGCCAGCAGCTTCATCCTTCTCTCCCTGAGCCTAGCTTCTATCGGATCCACCGTCGGTTTGTTGGCTGGGAATGTCTGTCGTAGTGCTCCGCGGATGGCATCTCCGAACTTCGCCCAGGCTCTGTCGGGCGTTGGTGCGTCCAGCAGGCTCCTCCACTCCTCCTCTCCCGTCTTGCCTACTTCCTCCTCCATCATCTTCAATAGCTCCTCTCTCCTCGTCCCTTTCCTGTGGCACTGCATAAGTGCATCCCTGTCCAGCCTCTGATCCTGCGGGAGTGGGGGGCGTGGGAGGTGGACCGCCCTCCAATTGAGAACCAGTCCCACTGGTAGATGGTATCGTGGCCCTCGTGCTTTGATCAACTGCAGGCGCTTACCTGCAGTGTGGAGTACCATGCACCTGTCCACAACTCCTAACGCACCTGTCGGAATCATAATGTGGTCGACCCTGCTCAGTCCCCCCTGTGGTCCCACGAATGTGTGCCCGATGTCGTGGTATGTCGTCACAAACGCTAGTTCGCTATGAGAAGCTAATTTCCTAGCTGTGGTTCCGTTGTCGTTTTCCAGTACCTGCGCATACGGTCCCAAACATTTCTCGTAGGATGTTTGCACTAGTCCGTCTGGGGCTCGGTAGAGCCCGAGGTCGCTATTAATGTCTCCCCCGATCACGATCATAGCCCTAGCACCGAGACGGTCGGTAGTGTGTTCTAGCCATTCGCAAAGTCTCCTCCCTATTTCACTGTGGCAACGTACGTGCACTGGCGCAAAGTACATGGAGAAGAGTGCGTAGTCCTGGTCCCCCACATGTAGCTTAATGTCTGCTGCTCTACCCTGTAACCCACTTGGAGGGTAGTAAATACTCCTTAGCGCAGTGGGTGGGATCTTCTTGTGAACCAGGATAGAGACTCCGCATGCTTTTGTCACCATTCGTCCTTTTTTTGCTCCAAATCTTAGGCACCAGTGGTTCGGAAGGATTGTCTTTTTTGCTGGCTCTTCCCCACACCACTCCTGCGTACCGTTGAGGAGAATCACATCCCATTGGGAGAGCTCTTGGCTAATGTCGTTTAGCCTTTCTACCGACCCCGCATAAAGTGGATTGTATTGGACGATTCTCATTGTGGTAAGAAGTGCGTGTGCTCCCCCCCCGCCTGGCCGAACTATGGGAGGTCAAAATCGCTTTCGGGTAGCAAGCAAAACATTCGTATGTCGGTCATGCTCCTGCCAGCCCAAATTGCGACTAGGGGGAGGAGGAGGAGGAGGAGGAGGAGGAGGAGGAGGTGGAGGAGGAGGAGGAGGAGACAGAGGGAGAGGGAGAGGGAGGGAGGAGGAGGGAGGAGGGAGAGGGAGGGGGAGGGGGAGGAGGGGAAGGAGGAGGAGGAGGAGGGAGAGGGAGGGCCGCGGTGGCGCGTCCATCTGCGCGAGCAGCAGCTCGGGCTCGTACCCGAACGGCATCATTAGCGCGAAGCAGTAGAGCGACGGCTTGACCTCCTCCGGCGGCGCGGGCACCTGCGCGGGGCGCCCCCCTCGGCGAGCGGCGATTGGCGGCGCGCAGACGGGCGGACAGGGGGGAGGGGGAGGGCTTCTTCGAAAGAGGCTGCTTCTTGGAAAGGACCGGCCTTACAGTCAACCCGTACAAGGAGGATGCGCCGGTAAGGATGCAAGGGCCTTGGAGAACCATGTTGACGTTTTCCAAGCGAGGTTGGCCAGCGAACGTTACCAAGGATGGGCCGAAGGGGCAAGGATGCAAGGGTAGCCTTGGGAAGTTGCCCATCCTTACTACGCGGGTTGACTCTACATTTATAAATCAGGCCCGCGCCTTCTGAGAAGCAGCCTCCTTCGAAGAAGCCTTCCCTCCTCCCCCATACCCCCCTCTGCGCGTGGCCGAGGCGAGAACAGGGGCCGCAGGGCGCCGACAAACGAGTGACTTGCTACTCGGGCGTCCCCTGTGACGTCCGTTATGGGGTGCAGGGGGACGGGGAGGTGATTGGGAGGATGATGGCAATGAATTGCGGGAAATACGGTTGCACAGAAGGTATACGCATGCCCTGCATGTTGAGCGGATGAGTTTACGAGTTGGGCAAGTCGGCAACGCTGGTCTTCCAGGTTGGTTGCGAGCCATAATTGCGTTCAGTTGTGGCAGTCCTTTGGTTTGTGCCTCGCACCCCCCAGCCTCGAAGCTCCCCTAAAAAAAGATTATTCCTGCTTCATCCCTCTTCCTCCTTGACACAACTCCAGTGTCCATAGGCCAGGCTAATATCTCCACCAGTAATGTACAATAATGAAAGACTTGTCGATTCCGAAATGCGGCTCTCGCAATAAGGCCGCGAACATTCGTTTGCAAAGTTTCTGGCAGCTGCAAGGCTGGATGGTCGGACGTTTCCAAAATGCGGCGCTTGCACTGACTCCACACATGCGTTTCGAAAGTTTTCGGCAGTCATGAGGATCAAGCCCGGTATGTGGATCTCGCCTCAGCGCCGCGCACATTCGTTCGAACATCCTTCAACGGTTTCGCAGATGGAATGTGTTCGTTGTCAAAGTGCTGCTCTCGCTTGATACCTCCATTGAATTATGTGGCCGAAGTTCCAACTTACGCAACAGTTGCACGGAAGCAAGACGGCTCCTGTTAAACATCATAGAATCGTTTGGTACTTCCGCAAACTTGATAGCCCAAACTCTTGCATTGCGCAGCAGTTACACGGATGGGGACAGGTACTTGTCAAAAAGGGGCTATCGCTGAACCCTTCCTTAAATTGTCTCATCCTACCCCTTTTCCTTCCTGCTAGCTAGAAGGACGGGGAAAGGATCATTTCCAAAGCGGGGTTTCGCCTGAGCAGCAGGCTCTCCGGGCGCTCGCCATTCAAGGGGGGCGCTTCCAGCAGTGGAACAGAAAACATGTAGGGACTTACGAGGAGGGAATTCAAGATAGGAAAATGTACTGCACAATCGTTGATGCATCCTGTGCTTACTCTGGTCATCCTCTGCCTCCTCTTCCCTCCTCCTCCTCCTCCAACTGCTCCTCCTCCTCCTCCACCTCCTCCTCCTCCTCCTTCTCCCCCTCCTCCTCCTCCTCCTCCTCCTCCTCTATTCTTCCTCATTCCTCATCCCTTCGGGCCTGTTTTGAAGCGTCTGGACTCCGAATCGATCCCCCAAGCCCGGAAAAAAACACCTTCAGGAACCAACGAATTCGACTTGAAGTCTGGGCGGCCCGAAGAGCCATGAGCCCGAGGATGGGGGACAGTAACTCGGAAGTGCGACCATCCTGGGAGGGCGCAAGCCAGCTCGAGGGATCGGGGCGCATGCCTCTTGGCCCAAAGCCCGTCTTGAGCTTTGGAGGGCCAGGGGGCGGGCCCGAGCTGGCCCCGAGTCTCCAGGACTCCAAAGTGATTGGTTCAAGCCTCGACATTGGAGGCGGCCGGGGGGGGGGGGCCCCAAGAGGAGGAGGAGGAGGAGGAGGAGGAGGAGGAGGAGGAGGAGGAGGAAGAGGAGGGAGGGAGGGAGGGGGGCTGAGGGAGGAGGAGGGGGAGGAGGAGGAGGAAGAGGCTCGAATCCAGAACCTCGAGCCTCGCCCCTCCCTGCTCGCCGGAGGCAGTGCATGGGCCGCCTCCGACCCCCAGCCGACGACAACCTCGAGACAGAGCATTTTTGTTCTGGGGGGGGCAAGGACTCCCGCAAGCGTATGTTTGGCGAAACATTTGAAAATAGTAGAACAATATTCAGAAACAGCCAGAACTAGGTGAAAAAGCGTGCGCAGACTATTTGTCTGACTATGTTTGGATATTCCTCCTGTAGAGGGACACGCCCGACTTAACGCAAGCGGGCCTCTCGGGCCTGGAGCATCCCACACCAAATTCTGCCAGCTCTGGGCCATGGGCTTTGGGCGCCGGTGCATTCTAGAGAATTAAAAGAGGCCCTGGGACACACAACTAAACAGACGCAAATCCCAGCATTCCCCATGTCTTCCCATATCTTCTGGGTGTTCGCCCACCCCCCCCACACTTCCCATAATTCCCATGTTTTCCTGGGCATCGGCGATTGCTTGTGTCTGTGTGTCTCTTATCCTCCCGGAGAGTGCCCTCCAGCAGGCCCCCGTCGAGGGCTCCGCATGCCGTGCTCGTCTCGAGCTCTCTGGGGCGCGATCTCGCCTTCGGAGGGGCACGAGGAGCAAGACCGGGAGGAGAGGGTGAAGCGATACCGAGGACCACACCAGAGAAAACCCCAATCAGCGGATGGTTTGATGAATCGTGGGGTCGATAAAGATATCGATAAGGAGATCGACTGGGACCCCAGAAACCCAGAACCCACCGAAATCGGCCAGGAGCGAATAACCAGGAACCCGGGAACCTAGAACCGGGAGCCTGGGAACCCAGCCAGCCACCAAAATCGGCGGGACACGTTCGCCAAATCTTTTAATTTCCGCAGGACCCCTTCAGTGCAAGCACTGAGGGGCTGGAGGGAAAACGTGGGGAAGATGCCATCACTCGAGCAAGACAAACAGCACAGGGTGAAAAGGGATGCACGCAACGGGCATTCTGCCAGCCAGCACCCGGGATCACTTTGCATCGGCCTTCGGAAAGGACATCGGGTGTGTCTGCATGAACTCCGATGTGTGCCGCCACGCGCACTATCCGAACTATCCCCCTCCTCCACCTCCGTGTGCTGCTTTTCCCTAAGCAGCTTGTCTCTAAGGGTGTGATCTATTGGTTCCAGGAGGAAGCTTGGTACGGGCGTACAAAGACCTGGAATCGGTGGGGCGCCGATTGTCTCTCGTTGTCCTCCGTTGTCTGCCTCCCGTTGTTTCCCGTTGTCTCCGACTGTCTCCCGCTCTCTCCAGTAGTATCCCGTTGTCGCCCTATCCCGATCCTCAGCCCTCTATTATTATCCTGAGCTTTTCCCTCATCCTATACTCCGGTCCCCATCACGACCCCGATGCTGATCCCTATATCCCTAGATTATATCGCTAGCCATATATCTCTGCCCCTTATCCCTACCCATACTGTATTCGCAACAGTTCTCCCTTTCGCAGTCTCACTGCTAGTGGTCGTATTAGTACTCATAGGTTCCACAACAGCATGTCTGTAAGGGTCCTAGAGAACCGGTTTTAGAAAACGAATGCGGGGATCGACGCATTTGGAATCGGTCAGGTGCCTTGGTATCCTGCAGTCTCCCGTAGCATCCCGTGGTCTCCCGTGGCCTCCCAATATCGCTAGCATTCGCATTCCGAGTATGATTCATAGTGATCTGAATTGTTGCATTCTCAACCACATTCTTCAAGCTATGATTCGTAGAAGCAGCCCGATTCTCTGAACAACTTGTCTGTAAGGGCCCTACATGGAACTTCTAAGGAACGAATGACTTGCCTGACAAATCCAGAGTTGGTGGGGCGTGGTCCGTGTGGACATGGTCTGCCAGATCCAGAATCGGTTGGGGGTGAACTCCCGTATGTCTTCCCATGTGGTTTTCCCGCACAATCTCCCGTATGGCCGTTCTGTATGGCCTCACGGATGGTCTCCTGCATGTTCTCCGATATGGTCTCCCGCGCGGTCTCCTGCATGGTCCCCCCTATGGTATTCCGTATGACACCCCTTATAATCTCCGGTCTGATCTCCCGTATAGTATCCCGAATGGTCTCCCGTATGGTCTCCCGAATGGGCCCCTGTATGCTTTAAGGGGGCATCCAGGCAGGCCAAACAAGGAAGGACAAGGAAAACAGAAAAGGGGAAGCCGCCAGAGGACGGCGGAGGACGGTGCCGCAGGGCTCTTGCCTTCCAGGTCACGCGCCCGCATCGCCGACGCCCCGAATGTGAGAGGCGGATTGTGCAGCGGCCTGCAAACCAGACTGCAAATCCCGTATGGTCTCCCATATGGCCTCCCGCACGGCTTCCCGCCTGGCCTGTCGTACGGTTTCCCGTGCGGTCTCCCGCATGGTCCCCCGCACGGTCTCCCGTACGGTCTGCGGTATGGTCCCCCGTATGGTCTCCCGCGTGGTCTCCCGCATGGTCTCCCAGAGGGTCCAGCGTATAGTCGCCGATGGCTGTTCCTGCCCGCGCCTCTGCTACCGATCGTCGTCCTGCTGCTGCTCTCGAGCTCCGCTCCCCGATCGCGCTGCTGCCGCTGCACGCCCGCCTCGGGCTTCTTGGTCGTGGTGGTGACCTCGCGCTTGGCCTTCACCGAAGTGTTGGACTTGTTCCTGCACGGCTGTGATCGTGAGGAGAAAGATAAGACAGGCTGGCAGACAGACAGACAGACAGAGAGCCAGCCAGACAGACACACACACACACACACACAAACACCTGTGGGGCGCGGGGTGGGGCCGTGGAGGACATGGAGGAGGCGAAGAAGGAGGAGGATGAGGGAGAGAAGGATGAGGAAAGGAGGAGGAGGAGGAGGACGACGACGACGAGATCAGGGAGGGGGCAGGAAAAGGAGGGCGAAGTGGAGGAAGAGGAGGGAGGAGCAAGAGGAGGGCGGCGAGAAAAGGTAGCAGGACGAGGAGGACGATGACGAGGAGGGTGAGAGGGCGCGAAGGATGAGGACAAGATGGATGAGGAGACGGATCGGGCCGGGCGAAAGGGGGGATAGCAAAGGGGCGGGTTGAGAATCAGCTCACGTAGCTGATTTTCCCAGCGCCTCCCGGCGCCGGAGGCGTCCATGTATCGAGGAATGGGCGCCTCGGCGGGGCCGAAACCAGCTGCATGCAGCAAATGTCGTAACCCCCCTTTGCCTATCCCCCCCTTTCGTCCGGCCCGAACGGAGGGAAGGAGCAGAGGGAAGAGAAGCAGGAGCGGTTGCAGCGGGGGGGGACCGAAAGGGGAGGGAAGAGGCGTGCGGGCTCGTCCCTGTCGTACTGTTGTCGGGCGGGGTCTTGGACTTGCTCCTGTCGTTCTTGAGTAGGCTCTCGGACTTGCTCCGGTTGTTGAGCAGCTCCTCGGGCCCCAGGGAAGAGGGAGAACCGGTTGAGGGGGAGGTGGAGGAGGGGGAGGGGCTAGGAACGAAGAGAGGAAAGAGGAAAGGCGATGGGCGATGGGTGAGGGGAAGGATGGGGAGGAAAAAAAGGGGGAGGAGGAGGAGGAGGAGGCGTGAGCACAAGCACAGGCGACAGATGCCACTGGCACAAATTGGCCCGCGTCGCGGCGAGCTGACCTTCCTGCACTTTTCTCAGAACGGGCAAGCGGAAAGAACTCGTGTGCGCATGCTTGCGTGGGAACTAGAGAACGGGCCAGCGTACGCAATGGGGGTGGGATGAAAGAAGGGAGGGCGGGGAGGATGGGAGCGCAGAAGGCGGAGGCAGGGAAAGGGAAGGGGGAAAGGCAAGGTGGCGGAGAGGGGTGATGAGAAGGCAGAGGGGAGGGAGACAAGCCAGGTGCGCTCGCGCCACATCCGACATCAGATCCTTCCCTCCCATCCCTTCCCATTGCGCGTATGTTTCTCTATCCGCGGACGCGTGTCATAGCCGACCTGGAACTCCAGCAGAAAGACAGAAAGACCCCATCCTGTTATGCGCAATCGGAGTCCGGGAACTGCGTACAGATGAGTGGGGGGCGGGTGAGCAGGAGGATGAAGAGAAGGACAATGAAGCGGATTATGAAGCAGGACGAGGACGAACAGCCGCAGCAGCAGAAACTGGAGTGGAAGGAATGGGAGGAGCATGGGGACGAGGGGAAGGCGGAGGAGGAGAAAGGAGAGGAGCGACACTGATGAAAAAGGACTCGGATCTAGAAAAGTGGCTCTCGCTGGGGCGAGAGCGCTATTCTGAACGACGGGAGCAAAGCGCAGATCCCAAAATGAGGGTCACGCTCAAGCGGGAACACCAACTTGAAACACCGACAGCATGCGGATTGTAAAACAAAACATAAAAAAGCATCTGAAATCCAGCATCTGAGATCCTCCAGACAGGTCAGGGGAGAGAGGAGAGTGAGTGGTATTATGTGTCGCCGCGCCACTTTCTCGACGCGCCCTAAAGGACGACGCCAACACCACGGCAAACCCACGGTCAACCCTGCGTCCCGCGTCCCAAGTAGACGAAGCCAGCACCGCGGGAAACCCCACGGCGAGCCCACCGCGCCCGAGGCGGCGTTTGCCCTGGTGCCCGCGGCGCCCTCCCAAGACGTAAGGCCGCGCGTCGGAACAAACGGCGCGGCGACATGTCTAATTTTGGCGGCGCGGCCAGGGGGGTAGGGTGAGGAGGGATGGCATCTTAGAAGGAGGCAGGTTTTCAGAAGACGCTGGTCTCACTTCTGTACACGAGGCCCGCGCCTTCTAAGAAGCAGGAGTGCTTCTAAGAGTAGCCTCCCCCCCCACCCCCCTCCTGCGCGTGGCCGACATTTGTGGAGCGGGGGAAGGCGACGCGAGAAGGAGACAGAAGAGGGAGAGGGGGGACGGGGAGGAGCCGAGCCGCAGACGGCGCCACTGCCGAGCGCTCCTCCACCTTCGCCGCGGCCGCGGCCTCGTCCTGGGCGCTCTTCTTCGCCCGCTCCTTGGCCTTCTTCAGGTCCTCCTTGCTCTGCTGCTGCTGCGAGTCGGCCGCCTTCTTGAGCGTCTCCTGGGTGGGATCCCGCGGGGGCCCCTCCGTCGCCAGCCACGGCGCCGCGCGTGTGCCCCGTCCTCCCTCCTCCTCCTCCTCCTCCTCCTCCTCCTCCTCCTCCTCCTCCTCCTCCTCCTCCTCCTCGTCCACCTCCTCCTCATCCTTCATCCTCCTCATCCTCCTCCTCCTCCTCCTCCTCCTCCTCCTCCTCCTCCTCCTCCTCCTCCTCCTCCTCCTCCTCCTCCTCCCCGCCCCCCTCTCCCATCCTCACCCTTCCCCCTCCGCCCCCATGCTGGGCCACCTGTTTGGCCCCCTCGACCGCCGAGCTGCGCAAGCACGAGGAGCCCCACTTGAAAGCCACCCGCCCTCCAGCCCTCGAAGCCGCTGAAAACGCTTACGACGAACGTGCGCGGCGCGAAGGCGAGAGCCTCATTTTGGAAACGACTGGACCATTTTGAAAGGTGGCGGCGCGACCACCGTGGACATGGTTGATGCCTCCACACAGGACGAAGCCGGCGGGGATGGAGCAGAGGAGCGACGCGAAGCCCAATCGGGGCCATTGCAACAGGCGCGGCCACAGACGGGAAATCCTCAGGCATCGTCGCCGGGGACAGCCTGGAAGTCGTTGCCCGAGTCAGTCGCAATACGAAGAGAAGTACGAGCCCACGCTCCAAGTTCTGACATGGAGGACGAGACCCCGTCGGTCACGCGGAGACGGCGTACCCGAGGAAGAGGACACACACCGATGGCGGCGAAAGTAACGCGCATCTTGTGCCAATCTCCTGAAAAGTAGCGCCCACCATTCGCACCGCCTGCCCATGTGGATCACGGATCAGTTGATCAGAGAAGTGCTCAGACACATCCTGAACCTCCACAGCAACAAAAAAACATCTCTTGGGGAGGGGGGGCGATGCTCCATTCCGCCGGCTTCCGCCAGCGAAGGCGCCCTCGTTTTACTTCTGCCGCCTTCCGCCACCCTTCCGTCAGCTCGTTCGATCCTCGAAGACGAGGCCCTTTCTGGAACGCCGCACAGAACAGCCAGGCCGCTCGATGAGCCGGTAGGAAGAGGAGCAGGAGGACGGCCAGCAGCAGCAGCGGCCCTGCCAGGGGAATGGCGTGGTCCTTCTCCTCCCTCGCCGAAGCGTTCGACTCCTTCTCGTCCTCACGAGAGTCGTTGTTCATGGTCTTGGACAGATTGGACACCCTGTTGTACATGTCCTGGGCCAGAGGCCCGCTGGGCTCCTCATCCTCCTCCTCCTCCTCCTCCTCCTCCTCCTCCTTCTCCTCCTCCTCCTCAAATTCCCCCTCCACAGTCAGACCCATGCCTCTGGCGAATATTTTCGGGTCTTGGGGCCCACGAGCTCTGGGCACTTGCCCTGAAACGGGCTTCCCGTCCTGAGATGCTTTTGGCAACTCCAGGATTCGAGCCTGCACCCGGACGCCGAGAATGCAGAGAAAGTCTGGCTCGATACTTATGTTCGAGTCTCTGAAGGTATGGGGTATGGGTTCAGAGCAGGAGGGACTCGCAGCTGCGTCTTGAGGGGCAACGAGAAGAGGGGACCAGTTCAAATGGGGAAACACCTAGCTGGAGTCGGCAGTCTATATATATATGTATATATATATATATATATATAATATATATATATATATATATATATTCCCCCTTCCTAAATTTTAATAAGCCCGGGCGGGGGGAAAACCCATCCCCCCCCAAAAAACAACCGGACTCCTGGGACCTGGGGCTTTGGGGCCCTCCGGACGGGCCTCGAAGCGGCCACCGGGCCTCGTGAGGCGTTTTGCCAAGCCTTCCCAGCACACTTAGGGCGATCAGGGGGGTCATCGGAGACGTCCCAGAGACCCCCAAGACAGCACAAGAGCGCTCCAAAAGTGACCGACGCGATCTCAAGATGGCCCAAGAGGCCTCCAGGGCGGCCCCAAAGAGGCCTCCAAGAGCACTCCCAAGAAGGCCCCCCCAAGCAAAAATCATTGATCTTCTGTGGGTTTTTGGTGAATTTTGGGGTTCTCCTCTTTTCGGCTTCCCGACGCTCCAAGACGGCGGTTTTCGAGGCGTCCGAAGCCGCCTGGGAGGCTCCCAAATCGCCCCACAACCATCCAAAAGGGCTTCCAGGCAGTCCAAGAGAGCCCCAAAACGGCACAACACAGGTCCAAGATGGCCCTCAGAGAGCCCCATGGCGGCCCAAGATGGCCCAAAGACACCCTCCGAAAAATTCCAAATCGTGATTCGGTCGTTCAGGGAGACGGCGGTTGGAGGCAGGGTGGCCCGAGGGAGCCCCGAGGCCCCCAGAATACGCCCTGGAGGCCTCCAGAAGGCCTTAAGAAAGCCCGAAACAGCTTTTGTGAAGCCCCTAGAGGCTCTCCAAGGAGGAGCCTCCGCAAAAAAAGAGCTGAGGAGGATGGGGAGAATGCACAAGGTATGGCGAAAATAAGGAACAATAAGCATGGAGGAAGGATAACGAATAGCATCATTATAGCGGCGATGCCGGAAAAGGCAACCAGGAGTTATCGCTAAATTGTCGGCTATTCCGCCTGCATACCAAACTTCAAGGACCAAGGTGCATGGCGCGAAGCGCCACTGCAGTCTTGTCTCTCTCTCTCTCTCTCTCTCTCTCTCTCTCTATATATATATATATCGGAGGTGAGGGGGTGAGATCGAAATGGAACGGAGAGCCCCCCTACCGGGAAATCGACTTCGGTTTCGTGTTCGTGCGTGCCGTGCGTGCGGGCGAGGCGAAGCTGCGTGGGCGGGCGAGAAGAAAGCCTCCTGTAGCTGAGGCGCGGCCGGACCAAATGATTCCGGACCGGCGTCCGGTGGCCCGCGGTGTCGCGCCGGTGTCCCAGCTCCGACTGAGGCGCGGCCGGACCAAATGATTCCGGACCGGCGTCCAGTGGCCCGCGGTGTCCCGCCGGTGTCCCGCCTCCAGCTGAGGCGCGGCCAAACCAAATGATTCTGGACCGACGTCCGGTGGCCCGCGGTGTCCCGCCGGTGTCCCGCCGGTGTCCCGTCGGTGTCCCGCTGATGATGATGATGATGATGATGATGATGCTGCTGCTGCTGCTGCTGCTGATGATGATGATGATGATGTCGATCGATGATGTCGATGATGTTGATGATGATGATGCTGATGATGATGATGGTGGTGGTGGTGTTCCGATGATGATGATGATGATGATGGTGGTGGTGGTGGTGATGATGATGATGATGATGATGATGATGATGATGATGATGATGATGATGATGATGATGATGATGATGATGGATGATGATGATGATGATGATGATGATGATGATGATGATGGTGGTGGTGGTGGTGGTGGTGGTGGTGATGATGATGATGATGATGATGATGATGATCATGGTGATGGTGATGGTGATGGTGGTGATGATGATGGTGATGGTGATCGGTCGGCAGGCTGGCAGGAAGGGTGCACTTCACGGCTGGCGCCCACACGCAGGCCACAGACTCGGCACCGAGCGCGGCCGTGCTGCCGCAGCCAATCCAATCACACCAGGGGAGCAAAGAATGACATAAACATATAAACACTCTGAGGTCCGCGCGGATTTCTCGGAACGGCGCTGGACCCTTCTCCCTGGCGCGCGGAGCGCGCCAGGGGCGGCGCCGCAGGTGCCAGGGGGGCCCAGAGCCGATCGGAGGAATCCGCACGGACCTCCGAGTTTCTATGTAGTGTTTGCTCCCCTGCTCACCTCCCCGGCAAGCGCAAGTTGCCCCGCCACGCCAGTTGGGCACCCAAATGCAGGCTGGGGCTTCGGGAGCTGGCCCATCGGACTGCCCTGCAGGGCCCGCGCAAGGGCACCCTCTGCGACGGGGCAGTACCACCAAGCAGCAGCAGCAGCAGCAGCAGCAGCGGCAGCAGCAGCAGCAGCAGCAGGCACAGCGCCGTCGAGACTCCGCCTGCGCACGCCCTGCTCCATGCCCGCGGCTCTGTCGTCCCCCGAACTGCTGTGGCGGCGCGGAGGGGCAGAGTCCAGGCGCCTCGCAGACTCGCCTGCTTCAGCACCCGCTCGGCCCCCGCAAGAGCAGCAACGACGACCCTCACTCGGGTTGGCCTGGCGAGGCCGTCAAGAAAATGACGAGGCGTCTGAAATTTGACACGAGCTCGCGCTGCAACCATCCCACGAAAACTGGACCGTCAACAACCAGGACGCGCTCGCCAAAAAGCGTCGGCTAACCCGAATTCCAGCGTACTCGAGTCTTACGTTTCCCCGATCCACCCTGGGTCGCCTCTCTTCCCCGAGTGGGGTACCCGGCAAGGGAGGGTCCTCCATGAGGTAACCCAAGGTGGGATCGAAATCCAGTGCGCTCCATGTAGCAGCAGAGGCGATCGCGATCCCGCATACCTCGCCAGACCCTCTCACAAAACTCCTCATCCGTCTTCCTCATCCTCCTCCTCCCCCCACCCTGCCGCATCATCCCCGTATGGCAACGGACGGTCCTGTTTCCTCTTGGCGGCCAGATCGTCCTTCTGATTCTGCGCGAAGGCGTGCTTCCACTCGGTCTTGGCCTTCTCCACCACTTGCTCGCTCGGGATAGACGCAGTACTGGAGAATTGCTTGATACTGCAAATGGGGAGCAGGAGTACGTAGCACCCCGCAGTTGCGGATAAGAGTGAGGGCCCGGCGAGGGCGTCGGCAGTCTGCGAGGCTCTGAGAAGCCAGCAGCAGGCGCTTAATTTTTACAAACTATACAACGAGCCCGCCGCAAGCGCCAAATGTTTCGTTAAAGGAATGTGGGTGGGTCGCGAGGTGCGTCGCACTTGGGTCGCGGGTGGGTCGCGGGCCGGGTCGCGGGCCGGGTCGCGGGTGGGTCGCGGGTGGTTCGCGGGCCGGGTCGCGGGCCGGGTCGCGGGCCGGGTCGCGGGTGGGTCGCGGGTGGGTCGCGGATGGGTCGCGGATGGGTCGCGGGCGGGTCGCGGGGTGGGTCGCGGGGTGGGTCGCGGGTGGGTCGCGGGGTGGGTCGCGGCTGGGTCGCGGGTGGGTCGCGGGTGGGTCGCGGGCCGGGTCGTGGGGCGAATCGAGGGCGGTCGCGGGGGGGACGACGACAACAAACAAACAAACAAACAAACAAACAAACAAACAAACAAACACCAAACAGCAACAAGAACAACAACAAGAACAACCACCACAACAACAACAACAACAACAACAACAACAACAACAACAACAACAACAACAACAACAACAACGCAAGGACACTCTCTCAGGCCACCCCGGCGGGGCCCGTGGGTGTGTCCTCGCCCCCGGGGCGAGCGCACTGCCCCAGGCCACACGTTGCAGTTGTTGCCCCGGGGGGGGGGGGGGGAGCAACGCGCAACACCTCTGTCATACGCTAACGTAAATCTATATGTGTTTCCGAATCTCCGTTGGCTCCCTTACTGTTCCCCACGCACTCCTGTGTCCGAAAACCGACCACGCGCCAGCGAGGCCAGCTCCTCCTCCTGATAGGACTCCTATGGAATCGCGCAGGACCCTGTAAGGATCCTATAGGATCCGTATAGGACTCCTATGGAATCGAGCCGGACCCTGTAAGGATCCTACAGGATCCCTCTAGGGTTCCTATGGAAACGTGCAGGACCGTGTAAGGATCCCATAAGATCCCTATAGGGTTCCTATGGAATCGTGCAGGACCCTGTAAGGATCCTATAGGATCCCTCTAGGGTTCCTGTGGAATCGTGCAGGACCCTGTAAGGATCCTATGGGATCCCTCTAGGGTTCCTATGGAACCGTGCAGGACCCTGTAAGGATCCTATGGGATCCCTCTAGGGTTCCTATGGAATCGTGCAGGACCCTGTAAGGATCCTATAGGTTCCTCCTCTACAGGACTCCTTTGGAATCGTGCAGGACCCTGTAAGGTTCCTATAAGATCCTTATAGGGTTCCTATGGAATCGTGCAGGACCCTGTAGGGTCCTATAGGATCCCTATAGGGTTCCTATGGAGCCGTGCAGGACCCTGTAAGGATCCTATAGGATCTCTCTAGGGTTCCTATGGAATCGTGCAGGACCCTGTAAGGATCCTATAAGATCCCTATAGAACTCCGATGGAATCCTGCAGGGCCCTGTGAGGATCCTATCGGATCCCTATAGGGTTCCGGTGGAATCCTGTAGGACCCTGTAGGGATCCGATGGGATCCCTATAAGGTTCCTATAGAATCGTGCAGGACCCTGTAAGGATCCTATAGGATCACTCCAGGGTTCCTATGGAATCGTGCAGGACCCTGTGCGGATCCAATAGGATCCCTCCAGGGTTCCGATGGAATCGTGCAGGACCTTGTAAGGATCCTATAGGGTCCCTATAGGCTTCCCATATAATCGTGCAGGACCCTGTAAGGAACCTATAGGATCCCTATAAGGTTCCAATGGGAACCTGTTGGGCCCTGTAAGGATCCGATGGGATCCCTATAAGGTTCCTATAGAATCGTGCAGGACCCTGTAAGGATCCTATAGGATCCCTCCAGGGTTCCTATGGAATCGTGCAGGACCCTGTAAGGATCATATAGGATCCCACTACGGTTTCTATGGAAACGTGCAGGACTCTGTAAGGATCCGATGGGATCCCTCTGAGGTTCCGATGGAATCGTGCAAAACCCTGTAAGGATCCTATAGGTTCCTCCTTATAGTACTCCTATGGAATCATGCAGGACCTGTAAGGATCCGATAGGATTCCTTTAGGATTCCTATGGAATCGTGCAGGACCCTGCACGGACCCTATAGGATCCCTATAGGATTCCTATGGAACCGTGCAGGACCCTGTAAGGATCCTATAGGACCCCTCTAGGGTTCCTATAGAATCGTGCAGGACCCTGTAAGGATCCTATAGGATCCCTATAGAGTTCCGATGGAATCCTGCTTTGCCCTGTGAGGATCCTATCGGGCCCCTATATGGTTCCGATAGAATCCTGTAGGACCCTGTAAGGATCCTATCGGGCCCCTATAGGATTCTTATATAATCGTGCAGGACCCTGTACGGATCCTATGGGATCCCTATAGGGTTCCTATGGGATCGTGCAGGACCCTGTAAGGATCCTATAGGGTCCCTATAGGGTTCCTATGGAATCGTGCAGGACCCTGTAAGGATCCTATAGGTTCCTCCTTATAGGACTCCGATGGAATCGTGCAGGACCCTGTAAGGATCCTATAGGTTCCTCCTTATAGGACTCCGATGTAATCCTGTAGGACCCTGTAAGGATCCTATAGGATCCCTATCGGATTCCGATGGAACCGTGCAGGACCCTGTGAGGATCCTATAGGCTCCCTCTACGGTTCCGATGGAATCGTGCAAGACCCTGCAGAGGGGTGTGCCAAAATGATCCTCGAGAGGGGTGTGCCATAATGAAGCCTCTGAGGAGCTCTCTGTGGAGCCAGGGCCACGATCCTCGAGAGGGGTGTGCCGAAATAAAGCCTCGGTGGAGCTCCCTGTGGGGCCAGGGCCACGATCCGTGAGAGGGGCGCGCCGAAATCAAACTTCGGTGGAGTTCCCTGTGGGGCCAGGGCCACGATCCTCGAGAGGGGTGTGCCGAAATGGAGCCTCGGTGGAGCCCCCTGTGGGGCCAGGGCCACGATCCGTGAGATGGGTGCGCCGAAACCAAGCTTCGGTGGAGCTCACTGAGCCACGATCCTCGAGAGGGGTGTGCCCAAATCAAACCTCGGTGGAGCTCCCTGTGGGGCCAGGGCCACGATCCGTG